CCCCAAAACCCCAAAACCCCAAAACCCCAAAACCCCTATTTCAACTTAGATAAAATAAATACCTAAGATGAATATCTCGAGATCTGAGGTTGCTAATTTGTATACAAACTTCTTTATTGGGCAACGAGTTGACCATAGCGAGAAGGTATGTGTTTAGCCAGATATTTTAGGCAACTCTTTCAGGGAAATAGGTATACAAGTCGGATGCTGAACCTAACTCATGACAAGCCGTTGAAGTCTAAAACTCCAGATGTCTTGAAAAGGTCTAAATTTTCGCAAATATGAAGATTATTGACTTTCTTATAGCTTCAGTCATCGTAAATCTCGATACAAACAAGTAAGGTCTACTTATATATTCTTTAGCCACAAGTAAAACCTAATTTTCTTAGTCTGCGTGCTAAATTAAGGTGATACAGCAGGGTGAGTCACATCCAGGACTGGCTTGAGTCTGAGCACCTTGCCTTGTCAAAGGATGACCTAAAGCAGTACAATTTTGTTCTATTCCTTCTAGGGCTACATCATCCTCAGTGGACAACAAAATTTTTAAATAAAATCAGAGAGATAACGATTTATACAAAAGGATTAAAGAAAATTATCGACTTTCTCAAGCATATTTTCGATATTATCGAGGCAGAAATTGATCAAGAGAGGTACAAATTTGTTATATTTTAGAAACCTCGATATATTTTCACCTATTTATAACCTCTCAAAGCAAGTAATAAGCTCGATCACTCAGAGTAAGAATTTCTTAGTTGAAGAATAGGCGTTGAATCTCTGAAGTTTGTCTCAGGAGAGGATAAAATTTTATTCTTTAAATCACGTATTTCCAAGCTATCGAAAGAGCTGGAAAAGGCTAGGGCTCATAAATCGCCTCAGAATCATAGCTCACCTAAATTTTCTTGCTCAGCTCCGCTCAAATCAAGACTGAACTCGCAATCCTTCTCGAACGGACTGGAGACATTTAGCGAGTACAAGAACTTTGAACGAGAAAGCAACAATCTTAAGTACACATCTGCAGATGAATGCCTTATTGAAATCGAGAGATCTATTGAGAGAGAAGAGAAGATTTCTAAACTTTTGTCTGACTTTGAGACCTCTACAGGTAAGCCCTTGCTGGGAAACCCTCTAGATTCTGACCTTAAGAGAAAAGATGACAAGGAATTTAAGCTCAAGATCATTAGAAATCCAGTTCAATATGGCACGCTTGAGGATGGAATCGAGATAATGGCCAAGAAGACCCAATTAGCTACTGCTAAAGCTTTATCTAAGTAAGTCAATGTAGACTTTTATATTAATTTTTCAGGATTTTGCCTAAAAAGAAGCTCAAGGAGGCTGCAGTCCAGACAACAGACAAAGGCTTGGCTGAACGAAGACTTCAGAATGCTAAGGACCAAATCGAGGAGTACTTCTACTTTAAAATATGGCTATAGACTTAGAAGAGTGATTTATGAGTACAAAAAGCGCGAAAAGGCTACTAATGGAGAGATCTCCCAACTCACAAAGGATCTGGAATTTTCACAAAAAACTCGTAAAGAGGTATGTTTTGGGTCAATTCTTTAGTACAGAAAACGAATTGACGCCCAGGACAGGGATAAGGAAAAGGTCACTGAGCACATCAAAGAGTTTCAAGAGGAGATTAATGAGCTCAATGAAGCTAATGACACTAAGTATATCATCATCGGGACACTAAAATCTGAGCTTAAAAGAGCAAAGGGTAAAGAATTGTTGGATAATTTTTAGGCAAAGTCATTGAGACTCGTAAGACCTATGAACAACAGATCGCAGATTTTGAAGATCAACTCTGTATTTCTGATTCATCATATTTTAGCAAAGCTATCTGAACAGAAAGATAAAGACGCTAAGGAAATAAAAAGGCTAAATGGGTATCTTGAGTACACAAAGGCTATTTTCCAAATAGATTCTATTGAGGAGCTTGGTAAGTTTACATACAAACATTTAGAATTACATCTTCAGCAAATAATAGACTTACGAGAGGAGCTACAAGCTGCAAAAGAGGAAATAAAACAACTGTATTGAATTTCTTTCATACTCTAGTTCAGCTACCCAGATTGACTTGGATAAAGAGACTGTATCAAGAGGCAACCAAGCTGAACAGGTTACTATAACCGAGGTAGCCCCTCATACTCTTAAAGATGGTACCCCAGCTAGCTAACTTTTAGAGGAGAGCAAGCACTACGACCAAAGTTTCAATATCGAAGTGAGGAGAAACGAGGAGGTACCAAAAAGTATTGTAGAGTGTGAAGAAAAGTTATCTCTCCATTCGAATCGTAAGCTGAGGAGATCTCTGAACAAATCCCTTGGGAAATCCGGCTTCGATCAATTAAGAGAATCAGCAGTGAAAATGAAAACTGAGAGTATTTGGAGTACAATTTTCTGTTAATTCCTAGGTGGACTTGACCCTTCATCTGAAGATATAAAAATGGTCAAGATCGAGTCAATTATTGACGAAATGTCAATCACTAAGGTAGGATTTTAAGTTGATTTCTTAGGAATCAAAACCACCTGCAGGGGTTAAGTATGAAGATCAATCACCGAAAGGACTTATAAATCCAATCTACAGTGATCTGTGCTCATAATTATTTAGTTAAAGGAAAAATGTACCCAGGAATCAAAGGTTTTAAGAAGAATCAGTTGAAATAAGAAAATGGAGCCTGTTAGTAGGAAAGGTAGATATTATATCATATAATAGATACTTGCATGTTAAACCCAATTCTGGGTACAATGGAGAGAAAATATGAATCTCCAAAGAGATCACAGAGTACAGTAGCTACCCAAACCCTTCCTTGAAGATTCATGAATTTATTCAATAATTCAAATGCTCAAGTTCAAGTTAACTTGACTGATAAAGGAATGGAACCTATTATAGATAGCCTCAACCAAGCATCTCTAGTGAAACTCAAGTTAGAGGATTCAGGGAGTAAGGATTATTCTAACTTCTGTAGCTTCTTTCAGAAGTTCTAGAAATACGATGATGTACTCTAATTCTCCATATGCTTGTCCTAAGAGCATTGCATATCTGAGTTCACAGTTAAAGAGCAATAGGAAGAAGATGACACCCATAAAGAAGAGTAAGGTACAACTTCTAAAATCTAGGAGCCGTTGTGAGCAATATTAAGTTGTAGAAATCTAAAATATTCAACCATTTCTGTCGATCTCGGGGTTTTGGGGTTTTGGGGTTTTGGGG